TGAACCACTTGGGAATAGTGCCTATACTCTAAATAAATTTAGCATACTTATAGGATGCTACCAAAACCAACCAACCAAAAACTAAAATGGAACCTAAACAAGAATTGGTAATGTAATTGCTTAATTGGAAATTAAAAATAGCCATCAAAAACAACATGGAGACGACTTAAAAATACTCTAATAGAGGCATAGGCTAAATGTATAGGGCCTGATGAAATGCATCCTAGAATACTCAAGGAACTGATAGAGGAGGTATCTGATTCATTAGATATCATCTTTGAAAAATCATGGACGACAGGAGAGATTCCAGAAGACTGAAAAGGGAAAATACAGAGCCCATCTATAAAAGGGAAATAGGAATGACCCAGGAAACTACAGAACAAACAGTTTAACTTCTGTGCCAGGAAAGATAATGGAGCAAGTAATTAAGGAATTCATCTGAAAACACCTGGAAGATAATAAGGTGATAGGTAACAGCCAGCATGAATTTGTAAAGAACAAATCATGTCAAACCAACCTGATAGCTTTCTTTGATAGGATAACAAGTCTTGTGGATAAGAGAAGCGCAGCATGTGGTATACCCAGTTTTTAGTAAGGCATTTGATACGGTCTCACATGATATTCTTATCAATAATCTAGGCAAATACAACTAAGATGAGGCTACTATAATGTGGGTGTATAATTGGCTAGAAAACCGTTCTCAGAGTAGTTATTAATGGTTCACAATCCTGCTGGAAGGGCATAACAAGTGGGGTTCCACAGGAGTCTATTTTGGGACCGGTTCTGTTCAATATCTTCATCAACGATTTTGATATTGGCATAGAGAGTACACTTACTAAGTTTGCAGATATGAAGCTGGGAGGGGTTGTAACTGCTTTGGAGGATAGGATTATAATTCCAAATGATCTGGACAAACTGGAGAAATGGTCTAAGCTAAATATGATGAAGTTTAATAAGGACAAATGCGAAGTGCTTCACTTAGAAGGAACAGTCAGTCTCACACATACAGAATGGGAAGCAACTGTCTAGGAAGGAGTACTGCAGAAAGGGATCTAGGAGTCATAGTGGACCACAAGTTAACTGAGTCAACAGTGTTGACGCTGTTGCAAAAAAAGCAAACACGATTCTGCGGTGCATTAACAGGAGTGTTGTAAGCAAGACACGAGCAGTCATTCTTCCACTCAACTCTGCACTGGTTAGGCCTCATTCGGAGTATTGTGTCTACTTCCGAGCACCACCTTTCAGGAAAGATTTGGAGAAGGTCCAGAGAAGAGCAACAAGAATGATTAGAAGTCTAGAGAACATGATCTATGAAGGAAGACTGAAAGAATTGGGCTTGTTCAGTTTAGAAAAGAGAAGACAGAGAGGGCTTATCTAGACTATGATAAAGTGTCGAAAGAGGATATGTAAATGCCACCAGAATTTGCGCATCTTCTTCAGATCTCACATTCAAAAGCAGAGCTTTCAAAAGTGAAAGTAGTTAAGACGCGTGTTTTTTGGCGAATCCCTCCCCCCGCTTTGTCAGAAAGCCTCTTCCTGAAAAAATGAGGTTTACGCGGCTTTTCGACAGAGGGAGGTTCGCCCAAAAAGCTGCTTCTAAACTGTTTTCAC